AAAAGGTTCACTCAGGCAACCCAGCCAGGTGTTTGCACCGGCTTACGCACGAGCAACCCCTAGAACCACTACATAGGGACATCCCATTCCATAATGATAATTTTACTATTTATACCCCACACATCTTATGGGGTTGCCCCAGCACTCTGGGCAGCTTCCAACATATACAAAAGCATAATAAAAACAAACATTTTAAAAAAGTTCTCTTTACAGGATTGCCTTCAGATGGCTTGGGGGTTGGATAACGCCATACCATCCAACATTTCTCCAATGACAATAGGGACAACCTAAGGAAAAGCAGGGCATTCCAGGAAAAGAAACCAGGACAGCTTCTCTAAATCAGGGACGTCCCTCGAAAATAGGGACTTGAAGGATCTGCATTCACATAACCTCCCCCCGACACACACGAAGTAAAAAAAAATCTGTTTTACCACCCCAACACCCTCGCCCCCTTTTTCTTCTTTCTTCTTCCCCATCCTTATTCTGTATACAACAATGTCTTACATCAAATGTAAATGATCTGTAGAAAAGTGTCTACAACCTGAAAAAAGAGATAATGCACGTACTTTTGTAAACCAAGAAAATCTTTAATAAAAATTATGTGGGGTTTTTTTAAAAAACCAAAACAACCACCACACATCCTTCCACACACCCTTCCACCTTCCCAGCTTCAGTGCAGTATGGCTTTGGATAAGGCAATAGACTGCTTTGTATTTCACCTTTGCACCTTAAGATTCCGCTGTCTGTGGTTTCCAGATTGCAACCTTAGTTTTAAAGTAACACATGCCTCTTTGTTACTTTTGTGTTGTTTTTTTATAAGATATTTATTAAGATTTTCAGAATATTACAAGACAAAAAAAGAAAAAGAGAAAAAAGAAAAATACAAAGTAAAAACAGTTAAAAACAAATCATTCCTTCCGTTACTTAGCTTTCATTTGCTTATTTCCAGGACCTCCTCACACCTCCCTTTTTTGTATTCCAGTTCAGTTATTAGTTCAACAAATCCCTCCCCTCTTTATGTATCCTAATCGTTAATCATAAAATATTTGTAATTTTAGATTTTTACCTATTAATAAACCATTTTTCATATTCCCTTATAACATTTCGGCTAAAGACCACTTAGTTTCTATCCGACATCATTCTAACATTCATTAATTTTGCAATATTTCTGTAAATAGTCTTTAAACTTTTTCCAATCTTCTTCCATCGACTCTTCTCCCTGGTCTCGGATTCTGCCAGTCATTTCCGCCAATTCCATATAGTCCATCACCTTCATCTGCCATTCTTCCAAGGTGGGTACTCTTTGTTACTTTTGATAGCCTTAAGCTATTTCATATCTATTTGCCAGATTCAATATTTTAAAGAAAAATCAGGGGAACCTTGTTCCCCTGTATGCATAGAACTTTATCACAAAATTTATAAATTCAATAAATAAATAATAATAATTGGCAGGTCATCTCATCTAACCCCCTGCTCAGCTCAGGATCAGATAATTTCCCCTCTAATTTAAGCATAGATCTGAACAGAAAGTCACCTCTCAACAAGACACTGGGTTGTCTGGTATGATCACTTGTACAGTTTGCACCGCAAATTTCATGATTTGCCATAAATACTATCCAAATATTAACAGCACAAATATTCAAACAGTAAAAAATCCTGGAAAGATATCGTTTTTATTTAGACCATGGTTATCCAGTAGCCTTGTAAAAGATCTAGCCTGTGGGCTTCTTTCAGCAGCCTTAATACTACACTTGCTAAAAATACAATATTATTTTGTAGATGTGTGACCTTAAAAAAAAAAAAAACAAAAAAAACCTCCCCCAAATGTTACCAGCTCCTGTTTCCCCCCCTCATCAAAAATAAAAGGGAAACAGTAGTGTTGGCTCCTGCTAGTGCTGCCAATTTCACTGACTGCCATTTGTTTATTAAACCAAGTATAGATCGCATGTTCATATGTCCTAGAAACCAGAATCCCATCCCCTTGCTAATTAAGCATCAAATCCTCCTACCTGGAGAGACGCTAAAGCTGCCCTGATAATAATAAAAAAATAAACATTGCTTCGGCTTCTGTAAACAACTTTCTCCACTTTTTACCATGGAGCCCTATACATTTAGATGAAATATTGAGAAGTGAATGCATAGAACAATAAAAGCAAGCTATGTAGCAAAGGTGGCTTAACTGAAGCAAGAGTTTTACACTGGTGGCAAATCAAATGTTTTGTTCTCTGGCCTGGTTGCTCTGGGAGCACTTCAGATCACTTGGCAATAAAGCCTCCAGAGACTAGCAATTAACAAAGACCTTCAGCAGCTGAGCTTTTCAGGCTTGCACTCTGGGAGCGTCCCCTTCCTTAGCAGAATGTCACTATAGGGAAAACCTGGAGCCTGCTCTCCACATTACTGCTCTTTCTACTGCGATTCAATCAGCTGGATATTTCTGTGCAGAATAACAATTATGATTCAGTAGATGCATGCAGAACCATCCACAAATGAACCACTGCTCTGCAAAAGCAAGCAGCTGCAGCGGATGTTTTGCATGGTGGTTATGTGGGTGTTTTTTTAAAAAAAAAACCCTCTCCAAATCTTCATTTTGAAGCTCCACATGGTAGAGCCCCAATGTTCTGTTAATTTGCATAACCAAGTACAGATTCATTTTCAGATGTATTTCCAAAGGAATAATAATGCAATACTCTGCTTCAGGGGCCTGAAATGGTATGTCAGGCTCCTGCCTTCCTATTAAAGCTTAATACTTCATGAGGATTTCTGCTGCCTTAATCCCACCCTGGCTTTCTACAGCAGCATTGAGTGCAACAGCATGTCAATTGGTATTAGGTTGAACAAGCAAGTCCTGCAAAAGGATGTGGCCATTGTGGAGTGCTGCTGTTCCAGACATTCCACTATATTATCCATGGGTTTTCAATGTTTTCCTCCAATAATCAGTCAGCATTCTGCAGTCACTGTCTATGTCCAATCTTCATGGGCTTTGGGGATCTCCTTCCCCTTTATTTTGCAGTAAAATTCTGTAGTTTAACTATGCACTGTGTGAAGAAATGCTTTCTGTTATCTGTCCTGAATCTTTCAACATTCAGCTTCATTGGATGCTCATGAATTCCAGTCTTATGAGGGAGGGAGGAAAACCTTTCTCTATCCACTTTCTCCATGCCAGACATAATTTTATAATCTTCTATCATGTCTTCTCTTCCTCGCCTTTTCTCTGAATTAAAAAAATCCCAAATGCTGCAACCTTTCCTCATCCAGGAGTCACTCCATCCTCTGATTATTTCAGTTGCCCTTTCCCAAACCTCCTGAATGTTCTTTGCACTGGTGAAAACCCATGTACGAGCAAATAAAAACCATCAGTTTCATTGTCACGTACATGACCTATAACGAACGGCAGAGTAGGTAAATATGTAAGTTAATGTCCTCTGGCACAGAGAGATATTGAGTGGTGTAATCTAAGGAGTAGAGTATTGATTAGCAAGATTTATTCTGAAATGAAACCTTGTGGTGTCTGTTGCCTTTATGTAGATCCACCATGATTAATGGGGCATCTTTAATGAATGGGGATGGGATACAAAAGGTGTGTGGGAGGAATAGAATGGCTTCCCATAGGGAAATATACCCTACAGCTGTGAAGTAGCCACTTCTCGTGGGAATTCATGGGGACATAGGAAGCTGCTTATATTAGGGGTAGGCTATGGTTTTCCCAGTAGTGATGTATGGAAGTGAGAGCTGGACCATAAAGAAGGCTGATCGCCGAAGAATTGATGCTTTTGAATTATGGTGCTGGAGGAGACTCTTGAGAGTGCCATGGACTGCAAGTAGATCAAACCTATCCATTCTTAAGAAAATCAGCCCTGAGTGCTCACTGGAAGGACAGATCCTGAAGCTGAGACTCCAATACTTTGGCCACCTCATGAGAAGAGAAGACTCCCTGGAAAAGACCCTGATGTTGGGAAAGATGGAGGGCACAAGGAGAAGGGGACGACAGAGGACGAGATGGTTGGATAGTGTTCTCAAAGCTACCAGCATGAGTTTGACTAAACTGTGGGAGGCAGTGGAAGACAGGAGTGCCTGGCATGCTCTGGTCCATGGGGTCACGAAGAGTCGGACACGACTAAACGACTAAACAACAACAACAAGGCAACCTAAGGCCCATGGACCACAAGCAGCCCACGGGGGTTATTTAACTAGCCCACAAGCCACCCCTGAACCGAGCCGCCCACTTGGCGAGTCCCCACGTGCTGTGCTAAACCGGCGCAGTGCGGCACGGAGACTCGCTTTCGCGGTGCTGGAAATTGCGTCTGTGAAGACGCCAGAAATCGCAGACATGCGCATAATCCAGCCCACGGAGAGATCTCCGCTGGAGTGATCCGGCCCAGGTGAGGTAAACCTTGCCGACCCTTGGCTTATATAGACCACTGACTCATCTAGCTTAGTACTGTGTTCACTGACTGGCAGCAGCTCACTAGGGTTTCCCACGGAGGTGTTTCTCAGTCCTCTCTGGAGATGCCAGTAACTGAATCTGGGACCTTCCACATTCAAAGCAGATGCTCTGCTACTGAATTACGGTGCTTCCTCAATCTGTCAGAAGTGTTCTAAAACAGCGAAATCCCACAGAAAGCCTCAACGGTATTTATGTATGTGGCTACAGTGGCAAGAATTCTCCATGCACAAAAATGGAAGGAGGAGAGATGTTATGTACTGAGTTGAATAGGATCCAAACTGCAGCAGTCCTAGAACAATAGGATCCAAATTGCAGCAGTCTGATTGGTCCTAGAACAATAGGATTCAGAATGCAGCAGTCTGATTGGTCCAAGAACAATGCAGCAGTATGATTGGTTGGCAGGAACCACCCAATCATGCTCCAGATATAAGTGAATCCACAACCTGATTGGCTTACAGTAGAATTCCAGAATTAACCAATCATGTGCAGCCCATTGTGTAAATAATGTATATAAAGCAGATACTTTGAGGGGACATTCATTCATTCCTCCTCACCACTATGAGCTGAATAAAGAGCATGAAATCACTTTGCGACTCTGAGTATATTTCACTGGCGACGAGGGTGGGATCCCGCTGAGCTGACTGCCACACACAGCACCGCAGCACCGCCACCTGCCGCACCGCTGCCTCGCACCGTGCATCCAGGCTTCAGCTCCGGGACACAAGGAACTCAGAATGGCAGCCAACAGCAGCTTCTCGCCATTCAACCCAGCATCTGGAGACTGGGAAGCGTACGCCTCCCGTTTCACCTTCCTCCTAGAAGCCAAAGGGGTCACCGACGAAGAAGACGCCAAGAAGAGGGCGATATTCTTCAGCGTCTGCGGAGAGGAGACATTTGAAATCGCCCGGGCTCTCCTTGCGCCTGAAGACGTCGCTACTGTTCCATACAAAACAATAATGGAACAGCTGAAGGGGCACTTTTCGCCACAGCCCTCAGTGGTGGCTCGTCGAAATGCCTTCTACGCAAAGCGGCAAGCCCCTGGGGAAACCATTACTGGGTTTGTGACCTCTCTCCGCCAAGCCGCCCGGTTCTGCAACTTCTCAGAGCTAGAGAACATGCTTCGGGACCGCCTCGTCGGTGGCCTGAAGGATGAGAAGCTGCAACGACGCCTCTACGCTAAGAAGGACCTAACGTTCCAGGTCGCTCTGGAGGAGGCCCTGGCAACGGAAGCTGCCGAGAGGTCGACGCAAGAGGCACGGCCGAGCCTGCCATCCCAACTGAGGGTCCACCACGAAGACCTCACAGACGACTCAGGATCCGACAGGGAGGAGGTGCACCGAGTACAGCAGCGCACTCAAGCAGCGCACAGACCACAGCTGCCTCGACGAGAAGGAGGGAACTGCGCAAGCTGCGGGGAGAGTCACGAGAGGAGGACCTGCCGTTTCCGCAACGCAGAGTGCAGGCAGTGCAGAAAATTGGGACACATCGCCCGGGTGTGTCGGGCTCGGCCCACCCGACACCAGGCATCAGATGACCAATCCAAGAGCCCCAGGTCCCGGGGCCCAACGCACCAAGGCAACTCGACGGAGCTCACGGACTGCCAGGTATACCAGTTGCCCCACCCCAACGTAGAGAAAATTTATGTAGAGGTACAGATAGAGGGGGCCCCATGCCGCATGGAGCTTGACACGGGTTCAACTCTATCCATAATCTCGGCAAGGACCTTAAGGAAACTGTGTCCTACTGGGGGTCCCAAACTCAGGCCGGCCCCATTCACCCTACGGGACTTCCAGAAACGTAAGGTCCCCACAATGGGGGTGGGGACCTTCAGGGTGCAATACCGAGGGCGGACGCGGCAACTGGACTTGCTTGTGGTCAAGGGCCCCTACATTAGCTTACTGGGATTGGCATGGTTTGGACCACTGGGGCTAGCTGTCACCGGGGTGAACCACACTAGCTTACAAGTGGACGTGGACGCCATATGCAAGGAATTTCCAGGGGTTTTCGATGGGAAATTGGGACAGTATACGGGCCCCCCCATTGCGCTACAGCTTGACCCCGCAGTACGACCGGTCAGGCTCAAGGCCCGCCGGGTCCCGTTCGCCTTGAAACCCCGTATAGATGAGGAATTGGACCGACTCGTGGAGCAAGGAGTGCTGGAGCCGGTGCCTAATGCCCCCTGGGAAACCCCAATCGTCACACCCGTCAAGCCTAATGGTTCGGTCCGCATCTGCGCAGACTACAAATGTACCATAAACAAGGCCCTCACGGCCCACGCATACCCAGTGCCAGTGGTCAGCCATGTCCTTGCCACCCTGGCTGGGTCGAAAATTTTGGCAAGCTGGACTTGGCCCAAGCATATCAACAGCTGCCAGTAGATGAGGCCACAGCAGAGGCACAGACGATTGTGACGCACAGAGGAGCGTTCAGGGTAAAGCGGCTGCAATTCGGTGTCAGCGTGGCACCAGGCATATTCCAGAATCTAATGGACTCCCTCCTTAAAGGGATTCCTGGCGTCACCCCATCTTCGATGATGTGTTGATTGCCGGGCCCACACCAGAGGAGTTTGAGGACCGCCTCCGCACCGTTCTGCACCGTTTCCAGACGGCGGGTCTCAAGGTGAAGCGGGAAAAATGTCTACTAGGAGTGCCTCAGGTGGACTTTCTGGGATTTATGGTGGACGCAGAAGGGGTCCACCCAACTGGGGACAAGGTACGGGCCATTTGTGATGCCCCAGCGCCCAAGAGCAAGACTGAACTTCAGGCCTTCTTGGGACTATTGAACTTTTACCATTCCTTCCTTCCCCACAAGGCGGCGGTAGCAGAGCCCCTACACAGACTCCTGGACAAGCGGGCCCCTTGGGTGTGGGGCCAGCGCCAGGAGGCTGCATTCCAGGCAGTCAAGGACTTGCTTGTCTCAAACTCGGTCTTGGCACACTTCGACGAGAGGCTGCCGGTGGTTTTAGCATGCGACGCCTCGCCCTATGGCATTGGCGCTGTCCTGGGACACCAACTCCCGGATGGAAGAGAGGTACCGGTGGCATACTTTTCCCAGACACTCAACGCAACCGAGCGGAACTACTCGCAAATAGACAAGGAGGGTCTGGCAATCGTGAAGGGAGTAAAAAAATTCCATGATTTCTTGTACGGGCGGCCCTTCACCGTGGTGACTGACCACAAGCCGTTGCTTGGCTTGTTTGCCCCCCGAAAAGCAGACCCCCCCAAGTGCTGTCTCCTCGCGTCCTCAGGTGGTCAATTTTCCTTGCCAGCTACCAGTATGCACTGATTCACCGCCCAGGGAAGGCGATGGGCCATGCAGACGCCCTCAGCAGGCTACCACTACCGGAAACAGGCCCCGACCCAGCACCTGCACAAGAGGTTATGAGCCTGGAGCTGCTTCCCGACCGCCCCATTCAGGCACAAGAAGTTGCACACCATTCCAAGAAAGATAGGGTCATCTCCCGGGTCCTGGACTGGGTGTGGAGGGATGGCCCAGCAGCAGCCCTGGGCCAGAATTCGCTGGCTACACAACCCGCAAACATGAACTGTCGGCCCACAAGGGGTGCCTGTTATGGGGAAGCAGGGTCGTTGTTCCCCAGCCCCTCCGCAAAAGGGTCCTCACAGCCCTACACGAGACACACCCAGGGGTAGTAAGAATGAAGGCCCTTGCCAGGAGTTATGTGTGGTGGCCAGGGATCGACGGAGAGATAGAGGCCTGGGTCAAACACTGCCAGGCCTGCCAAGAATCCCGCCCAGATCCCCCAAGGGCCCCAGTCCAGTCCTGGGAGTCCGCCCGAGCACCATGGTCACGCCTGCATGTGGACTTCGCTGGCCCCTTTCAGGGGAAAACATTCTTCATAGTGGTGGACTCCTACACCAAATGGCTGGAAGTCGCACTGGTACCGTCCACTTCTACATCCGCAGCCATCCGGGTATTACGCAGGCTGTTTGCAACCCACGGGCTCCCTGACACTCTCGTCTCAGACAACGGGACTGCATTTACGTCAGGAGAATTCCAAACCTTCACAGCGCAGAACGCCATCCGCCACATCCGTTCGGCGCCATTCCACCCTGCCACCAATGGCCAAGCAGAACGCATGGTGCGGACCACCAAGGACACGCTTCGCCGCATGACGCAAGGGGATTGGGAGTACCGCCTTGCCACATTCCTCCTAGCACAGCACAGCACCCCCAGCTCAACGACTGGCCGGAGCCCCGCTGAACTACTAATGGGTCGGCGCCTTGCAATCAGATTGGACCGCCTTCACCCCGATAGAGCTCAGGATGAGGTAGTGGTGGGGGAAGGCAGGACCCCCGGACCTTCGAGGCCCAGGACCCAGTGTACGCAAAGAATTTTGGGGCAGGCCCAGCATGGGTACCCGCCACAGTCACCAGGGTCACTGGCCCCGTGTCGTACGAGGTGCTAACGGATGGGGGCAATGCTGGCGCCGCCACTGCGACCAGATACGGCGACGATTCCCAGGAGAAAACCAGGAGGAGGAAAGGTCTGAGGAGTCCCAAGGGAACAGAGGGGCAGTGAGGCCCATAGAGCAGGAGGGGCCAGCAGGAGAGGCAGAATCAGTAAATACAGAGAGGACCCGCGAGGCCGAAAGGACACCAGAACCAGAACCACGACTGAGCGAGCTGGTTGCGCCAGACCAAACAGGCCCATCACAGCCAGCATCCTTGGAACACGAGCCAGAACCTGAACCCCGGACCAGGGAACACCACAGGCCGCAACGCACACGTAGGCCGCCGGCGTACCTCGAGGACTATGAATGCGACCTCCCGGGCAGGACTGGAACTTAGAGGGGAGGGGTGTTATGTACTGAGTTGAATAGGATCCAAACTGCAGCAGTCCTAGAACAATAGGATCCAAATTGCAGCAGTCTGATTGGTCCTAGAACAATAGGATTCAGAATGCAGCAGTCTGATTGGTCCAAGAACAATGCAGCAGTATGATTGGTTGGCAGGAACCACCCAATCATGCTCCAGATATAAGTGAATCCACAACCTGATTGGCTTACAGTAGAATTCCAGAATTAACCAATCATGTGCAGCCCATTGTGTAAATAATGTATATAAAGCAGATACTTTGAGGGGACATTCATTCATTCCTCCTCACCACTATGAGCTGAATAAAGAGCATGAAATCACTTTGCGACTCTGAGTATATTTCAA